TCAGAGAAAAATGTGTCTTATATCTCAGTAAACTCTGGGATGCTGACTTTTCAACAATGACAGTTACAAGAACCTTCTGCGTTCCTCAGTAAATTGGGATGCTGACTTTTCAACAATGACAGCTACAAGAACTTTCCCTTCTGCATTTAGACCTAATAGTTGTTCAGGACAGTGACAGGTTTTTTTTCTTGTAAATTAAAAAATCAATACTTCAGGGGCCAGAGAGATATTATAGGGGTCAATTCCTATTTAGTCCATGAGTGACACCAGGGGACATTCCCGAGGACAGCAAAGAGTACTGCCTGAGCTTTGCCGGGTGTGGCCCCCAACCCATGAACATTCAAAAAATAAGACACCATTATCCCATGCTTAACATAATATGCAGCAGCAGATACTAACTAGATTCCTAAAATTAAAATAAACAACCACTGTTCTCAGTCATTCTACCACTGAAAGTAGGTATATCTACCCAAAGTATTTTTCTTTCCACAAACGAGGCACCATGGTATAAATGAGGAATCAGGAGTTAAGTTCTAGTTTCAAATCTGTCACTAGTCAGCAATGTGTACTTCCCCTCTGTGAGCCTAGGTTTCTCTCCCATTTAAATGGGAGAGCTGGCCTAAGTAAGTCTCATTTCTTCTTATTCTAAAAACTGTTACCATTCTAAGGCCAGGGAGATAGTTCAGAGGATTAGGGAAGATTATTGGCATAAAGGGGGCCTGGATTTTAAATCACTGGAACTGCATGCTCCCTCGAGCACCATACTGAGAGTAGTCCTGAGCACCACTGGATGTGGCCTCAAAATCAAAGGAAGAAAAAATGTTACCATTCTATCCTTTTTTTCAAAGGCCTCAAAAATCATTTTGGTGAAGTATAAGAACAAATATAGAATGATCAATGTGTTTTGAATATGGGATATTGAGCTACAAATGGGCAAAGGCAACAGAACTGGACAGATGGTCTACAGAACTGATCTTACCTGAAAGGGGGAGGGGGTGGCCAGAAAGTATATGTAGGGCATTGGTGGAGAAAAGTGGGCACTCTGGTGGTGGAACAATGTAGAAAGCCATCATTAACAGCACTGTAAATCACAGTACCTCAAAAAAATAGGGGGATAACACTACTTTAAAATATCATTATGGTTGCCCCCCCAAAATGAAGAGTGCTCAAATTATCACATTTATTTTTAGCGCATATACTTTGTGCAAACTTGAATATGCTTATGTATAAACAAATTAGCAGGAGAATTAATTTATCCAGTAAATGTTAGTTTCATATCTACAGGTCTAGAATCATGTACCAAATGGCAACACGTTTATTATATAAAAAAAGCAAACTGAAAAAAATCACTGGAAAGATTTCCCATTAATAAAAGCTTATCAATAAAAGCACACTATTAAACCTCAATATAATGTCAGACTTTTAGAGTTAGAAGGGTTTTCAGAGTGTAATCAACTCAATTTAAACAGGAGGAAATGAAATGACTCACAGACCAGGACTTTTTTCTACTACACCACACTTCCTCCTCCCTTTCCTGCTTTATCAAAATACAGTGCAACAGCAGAAATAAAAGCTAGACTGAAAATGATCTGGGTTTTACTTCAAACTCTGCAATTAATTTTCTCAGATACCTCGGACAAGTCACTTTCCCTCAGCAGGCTTTGATTTTCATATGAAAAGAAGGAATTTAAGATTTCCTTTCTAGCTCTAACATGTTATAATCTTACAAAATTATTCTCTGACAAAACCAAATACACCCTCCTGAAAGAACGTGTATTTTATTTTCTGACCCCGGGGAGGGTAAGAAAATATAGAAGTTAATTTGATCTGCACCTTGCAAGCATACAGTAGTCCGCCCGAGTCCAGTCACAGTGATCCTTAAGCAGAGTTAGGAGTTAGCTCTGAGCACAGCCAGGTGAAGCCCAAACCCTACCTCCTCCAAAAGTCAAAAAAACAAGTGAGGCTTAAGAATAACTCAGTAGTAAAGCACTTGCTTTTGTGTGCTTGGTTCCGTGTTTGATCCCCAGCACAGCAAAAAACTTCACACCCACAACTTGAAGGATACCCTACACACACACACACACACACACACACACACACACCCCTTTCTCTCCCGTCCCCAGATACCCTTACCACACATAAACACACACACACTCATGCACGCACACCAAGACATACTAGAACAAAAATACTAGTATTAGGCTTTTGAAGAACTGGTCAAATCCCATTTCTGTCACTTTCAAAATTTGTCTCCTAGGGTAATTCATTAGTCCCTAAGCCTGTTACCTTATATGTAAAAACAGAATATTAAGGAAGCCTGACCTAAAATATTAAAGTATTATAAATGTGGTATATATTGTAAAGTGGAGCAAAGAGAGATGATATTAGGCAGCAGTAGAATCAAGTCTGTTATAAAAGAAACAAGGTTGTTCTTTAACTTATTAAATTTGGGGGTTTTTGAGGTGTGGGTGGGGAAATTGCTGGAGTGAATCCATAGCTTTGTAGATAGAAGCATGCAAAGGACCACTGAAAAGAACTCCAGTCTCTAACTTGGCCTCCAAATTAAAATTTTTAAAAATTAAATTTTTAAAAAAAATTTAAAATTGTATAGTTGTTTCCAAAATATAAAACAAGAAAGCTGAAGATACCATTGGAAAGGGGAACAGAAAAAAATAAACCAATTTTAGGAAATAGAACGCATACTTGGATTCTGCTAACAAAACACTTCAGATAATTCCAAACTACCTACTAAGTTTACTATTATTTGGGGAAATAGTTCGTGTACTCGGAACATGCAACAGCAAGGGATGTTTCTTAAGATAGCTCAAACTTAGTTCATCTATTATAAGTTCTATGGTGTGCAACTCCAGTTCTTCTCAAGGGAAATACAGTTATTTCTGATGACCACTTATCTACTGATACCATCTGTTGCTACAAACTGTATCTCTCGCTGAATTTCTGGGCAGTTAGTTACCTAGTCAAGAATCACAGTGCCATATGCAAAGAGAAAAAAACTATCACAAGGAAAATGAAATGTTAACGATAGCCATCTTTTTTTCTATCCTCTCAGAATTGCTGCTAATTCTTTTCACATATTCTCCAAATGAGACTAATTTTCATCTAAGTTCCTTCACCACAGGATGGAGCCCATAAAATTCACAGGCTGACACTCATTTTATCAGTAGACCTCACCACACTCATTACATTGACAAGTAAGAGTTAAAATAAAAGCACTGAGTCCCAACGGATATTTTTACTTTTCACCCAGTATCAAAGGATCAAAGTGCTTGAGAAGCCATGAAAGAAGAAATGACTCTCAGTTATATCAAAATGACTCACTGAGTTTAGATAAGTTAAACAGCTTCAAGTTCTAATACTTCTAAATACTGGGGGAAGTTAAATTTGCTATTTATAAGAAATGAAGAACGAGGGAACAGACATTTGAGTTCTTTCTCCACACCAGGTACTTGTCAGGGAATTTGCACAAGTCCTGACATAACTGTTCTTAAAAATTATATCTACTTTATTTATTGAAAATTATTTCAATCATAAACATCACTACACACACACACACACACACACACACCATCTGTCAAAGGATAAGGACTTTCATTTAACCTGAATTGACCAACTTTGAGAAAAACCACACACACAAAATTTAATGTCAAGGGAATTCAATGTTTTTGGAAATCAAAATATATTTTCTATCCTTTATTAACAAGCTCTGTTCAGAGCTCGAAGAAAATTCTGTGCCATGTAATAACTGCCATTGCCCCCTGCAAATCCTATAGTAATGGTATGAAAATTTGCCATCTCTCAACATATATCTGATTTTGTTAATGCAATTTCTTTGATATATATTTCATTATTATTACATATCCTTTCTGTATGTATCATCTATCTCCCTCTATATAGCCTCTAGAATTATTTCTAAAATGCACAAATAACTTTATTTGCATCAATCAAGGTATTTCGTCCACGGGATAAGCTTGAGAACTGAAGGCACTGAATTTGGGATTTACATTAACATACAAACTTTAGCAATTTTCAAGCTCTTAACAGGGTGAAAATCCTGTTACTGTCTCGAGCTCCACAGGAGTCCATACCGTGGAAGAGTTGGGCTAAACTGCTTTAGACGTTGCAACTTTGCGGAGCCGGAGCGGTCAAGCAGAAGCCCCAACCAGCTGAACATTCCAACTACCAGACTTCTAAGTAAAAATCTTCCAAATTAATCACCCCCAAAACATTTTGCAGAATTAGATAAAGAACATAAAGCTAAGCCCCTTCTTCCAATCATCAGATTACTCAGCACTTGTTTGTTTCACTTAGTTTGTAATGTAATTTATGACCAGCTACCCTTGTAGACCGCATTCTTCCTAATGTCTTCGATTTCCTCTGCCAGTGGGGAAGGTGCTATTTTAATCAAACACTGTGGCACCAGCTTAAAGGGCTTTCCTAAGCAAATTCCCAGTTTTCCGCCCCCTCCACCACCACCCCACCCCGCCCCATGGCCTCTCCTTTACCAGCAACGAAAGGAGAACGGCAAATAAGAGGAGTTACAGCTACCTCTGAAGAGTAAGTTCGCAGGAGGAGAAAGGGAAATGCAAATTGCTCCTGGCCTTTTCATCTACTATCCCTAAGGCAAAACGGATGCTCGAAAGGTAAACTCGGAACCCCACAAACACAAATCGCCGGCTCGATGGCAGTTGAAGCTGTGCCATCTCGCAGAAAAGCTGGCAGAGACGGGAGAGGAGCTCGCAAAAATAAATAAATAAATAAATAAATAAATCCTAACCCCCTGAGGCTGTTCACCCGGGCAAGAAGGGGGTCGGTCCGAGGTGGGAGAGTCCCCTTAAAACGAGTCACTGTAAGTGCTCGAGTGAGACGGAGAGGAGCAGCGGTGCCGGACACAGCGGGACTTGGCAGGGGGCAGCGGGAAGGCACGGGACAAGCCGGGAACCGGGGCGTCCGGCTTCTAAGCCACAGCTCCGATTACTTACCCCACTGGGTAGCCGCCCCCTAGGTGAACATCTTCAGGGGCATCAAAGAATTCCTCGGTGTCGCTTTCCGACGCCATTTATAGGACACACCCGCGGGTGAGGGGGCCGGCGCCGCCCGGAGAGAGGGTGACTCTCGTCTCCTCTCGGTGTCCTCCACCCCGGCGAGATGGTGGGGAGAAGGGTCCCGGGCAAGGATGAGGAGAGGGGCAGGCACTCCGGAGTGAAGATTCAGTTAGGGGCAGGGGGCCAGCCTCACTGCCTGGCTGCGGGAACGACCGGTAAGGCGGCCGCTGGAGGAGGTGGCGACGGGTCCACGACAGTTGCTGCCGTTCCTGCCGGCGATAGGTATAGAAGGAGAGCCCGAGGAGAGGCGGTGGCTCTTCTCTGTGGGGGGAGGGCGGGAGCGCCAAACGACAGCAGCTCCAATTTCTCCCGCAGCGGCAATTACAGCTGCTGGGAGAGGTAGTTACCCGCAAAGTACAGCCGCTCACCTACCCTCGCGAGATTTCGGGAGGGGGGGGGGGGGGGAAACGGTAAAGCGTGGGCGGGGCGAAGAGAAGCCAGGGGCGGTTCCAGAAAGGCTGCGCTCGGATTTCTTGGCCCCGAAAAGCCTATCAAAACAGCGCAAGCGCATTGAAGGGCGTTCGTGAAGGGCCGGAAGTAGCTGAGAAGGGTGGAGAAGCACCGCCTAAAGGGAGGAGCTTAGAGTCAGCGCCGGAGCAGCGTGGTGCCGAGACTCTGAGGGGCTACCCCGAAAGAGGTGGGATCGGGTCAGCTGTCTTAACCCATGAAAGTACGCATTTACAGAGACAGGCGTGTCAAAGGGGGTGTTTCTCTCTCTCTCTCTCTCTCTCTCTCTCTCTCTCTCTCTCTCTCTCTCTCTCTCTCTTTTGGTTTGTTTGTTTTTTAATGAGGACATATGTCCGGAATCGTTGACACTGGAGTTTGCATATACGTCTTAATTTATTCCAAACTCCTGATAATCCAGCAGAAGGATTGACTGACATGTCCACCACTTCTAGCGTTAGAGGAATAACCCTCACTTCTATTCTACAAGATATCTACTTGAGTTTCTAGATGTGATGCACTCACTGACCAGAGGGTGGGATCCATTAGAGAGTTTCAGTGTGCCAGTTCCATGGCGTAATAATGATGGTTTTATTGCTGGAGCTGAGCCAGTGTAAGGCCTCCGGTTACTTATTCTCTACAAATATCGGTGGCTGCCCACACTTAATGTGAGAGAAAATCTTGCACACTGGCCAAGATGTGCGTCAGTCAAATGGCAAATATATATTAAGCAGATACCGGTGCAAGGCAAAGAGCTTAGTAACTTGAGTCTCACCTTGGAGTGTCCAACGTCCAGTGATGAAAATAGAAATGTGCTTTTTCGAAAACAACGCAGTACTTTAACGAATCATTACATCAAGGTGATAATTTGACTTTCTATAAAATGGAAATTCACGTTTTCCCCCATTGATAGGACAGTTGAGCATTATTCCAACCTCAGTTCCTGCCAAAGATGACAGCAGAAAAATGCTAGAAAAGCAAAGATGGAGATCGAGATTTCTTTTCGTAAAGTCATCAGGAAAAAACAACTGGCATAGTCAAGTCTACTGAATTTGTGTGAAAGTAAGTGCCATATACTTAATAGTCCCATGAAGTCCAGGGAAAACTATGCACAATCAAATATGGCAATTATTTTTAGCAAACCATACAAATATTCACATGCAGTAAATATGGTCACGGTCCTCCCATTATTCATTGATTTGCTCGAGCGGGCCCAGTAACATCTCCATCGTGATACTTGTTACTGTGTTTGGCATATTGAATACTTCACGAGTATCTTGCCAGGCTTTGCCCTGCGGGCGAGATACTCTTGGTAGCTTGCTGGGCTCTCTGAGAGGGGCGGAGGAATCGAACTTGGGTCAGCCATATTGGCCGCTTGCAAGGCAAACGTCTTACCCGCTGTGCTATCGCTCCAGCCCGTGCAGTAAATAAATTCAAGTAAATAGATTCATTCAGTTCAGGTCAGATACTACTGGCAAATAAGTTTAAACCATTTTAAATGTTGATTTTCAGAGTTTTTATAGTTTCAAGGTTGCAGACAGCAGTTGTAGATCCTTATGAGGTGCCGCAATCAAGAAATTATTTTTTTAAAAAAAATAGAAATGAATAGTTTTCCTTTGTTTGTTTGGGGACCACACACAAAGGGCTCAGGGCTTAAGCCTGGCTTAATGCTCAGAGATCACTTTTGGTGGTGCTTGGGGGGACCTAAGCTCCTGGAAGTGTTTGAGGGACCTTTGCTGTGCTGGGGATCAAATTCAGGTTGGCAGTTGAAATGTAAGTGCCCTTCCTCCTATTTCAACTTCTATATATTTAAACCCTGTTAATGTTAATTTTTTTAAATGTAAGAGTAGTGCTTTTTATTCAGCCATTGATTATGCTGATTGAATTGGGCATGAATTTCACATAACTTTTTTAAAAAAATTTAAATTTTTAATTGAATATTCATGAGATAGCCATTACAAAACTGCTCATAATTGGGTTTCAGTCATACAATGATCCAGCACTCAACCCTCCACCACTGTACATTTCCCACCAGTAATGTCCACCGTCTCTCTACCACCATCCCCCAAACCCCCCACCACCATCCCCAACCTCCCTTTATAGAAGTCACTTTCCTTCTTGCTCTCTCACTACTTTTTCTCTTGTGCCTTGTGGTTTGCAGTACAGGTGCCAAGAGGTCATGTTGTTTGTTCAGGGCCTTCAGTATTTTTATCGGGATGGTAAGGCTGGAGTAGCTTTTCAATTGGGTGGCTGCTTTGAGGTGTGGATGTGACTGCTGAGGCTTCCAGAAGTACATGGAGGTGGAGAGAGGTAGCCTAGCCTGACCCCAAGAAAGCCTGGATATTTTAGTCACAAAACACACATACCCGAGCTCTCAGCAGATTGTATCTTGGTGAAGTCCATCCTGAGATGGTGGAGTCAGGCCTGGGATATGGTGGTGATTTGGGGTTGTGGAAGCAAGCAGCTGCTGGGGGCTCTGCTTGGGCAGGCATCAGCCTAACTTCTCCCCCTCTGACTCACCCCAGTCTGTTCAGCCATATGCAGGGGTGAGTTTAACTGTGGCTTTGATCTCTTTCAAGATTTATTTGTGGGTCTCTGAAGAAGGGCCCATAGTAGAGCTTACATTGTGGCACTGGAATTGGTCATGGGGGTGACTGCCCATGCTTCCAGGAATATTGGGAAGTGGGGTGATGTAGCCCATCCCAACTCAGAATTTTAAGCAGATTTCATCTTGGTGAGGTCTGTCCTGAGACAGTGGAGTCAGGCTAGGGGTATGGCAACAATTTTGGATTATGGAAGCAAAGAGCTGCCGGGGGCTCTGCTTGGGTGTGCACCAGCCTAACCCGCCCCTCTCTGATTCACCCCTCTCTGTTCAGCCATGCACTGGTTGAAGATTAACTGCAGCTTTTGATCTTTTTGAGATTCGTTTATGAGTCTCTGAAAAAAAGGCCAGTAAATGAGCTTGTTTAGCTGAGCTGGAGGTGGTTTGTGGGCATGGCTCCCACATACCTAACTTTCGGCTGTTTAATTTTTTTGGCAAACTAGCCCCCAAGTTGTTGGGGTCTGGCCAAAGGCACAGTGGCAATTTTGGGGTATCAGGAAGACTAAAGGCACCATCAGGCTGCTGATGCACTCGCCCCGCAGGCACAGGTTGACTTGCTGGCAACATCATACCCCCGGTGTTAATGTTAATTTTCTACATCTTGAATACTTAAATTTCACTGTCTCTGAGAAAGGTAGTTTTGTTCCTAATGGATTATAAATGCCTAAGTACAAGTAACATGAGTGTATTCTCTTCAGAGTTAACTAAGAGTGAATTTATGTTTATGTTTACTTTAAAATGAAAGTTTGGAGCTGGACAGATAGCTCAGCAGCTGAGGCATGCTTTGTATGCAGGAGGCCTGGGTTCAATGCCCAGTACCACATTACCCTTGTGCTCCACTCAGAAGAACCCCTGAGCACCAAGTTTGGAGTATTGCATGAGCAACTCAAGGTGTGGCCCAAACCACTCTCAGAATTTTTAAGTCTGTAGCTGGAGAGATAGTAGAGTTTAAGGTGCTTGCATTGAATACTACTAAGCCAGTGCAATCCTTGACACTATTTCATTGCTGGCAGGAGCAACCCCTGAGTATAGGCACAGTAGTCCCCGGGAATTGCTGGGTGTTGCCCAGAACTCTTGCTCACAAGTTATAATTTTGGGCTTGGGGTTAGGGTAATAGCTCAACCCCTCTCTCAGCACTGTTGAGTATCTCCCCTTCAAATGTAATGTTTGGTATCATGCACTGTTTTAGCTGCTGAGGAAAATTCATACACAAAGAAGAAAACTTAATTCCTGAGTTCCAGGACCAAACAATTTACCAATGGAGACAAATATAGAGTGTTAATTTGGTGCTTTTCCCCCCATCACTAGATCATACTACCTCTCTTAGGCATTTAAAGTTACCTTATAAAATAAAATAAAGTTACCTTATAAATATTATGTCTAGACAAAGTCAAAATAAGAATGGTAAACTGTAAACATTTTTATTTTTTAAATTTTGGTTTTAAATATTTTGTTTATTGAATCACTGTAAGATAGTGATTACAAAGATTTTCATGATTGGGTTTCAGTCATGCAGTGTTCCAACATTCATCCCTTCTGCAGTGTACATTTCCCAGCACCACATTCCCCAGTTTCCCTCCTATCACCTTCCCCCACTCCAGCCTGCCTTTATGGCAGGCATGTAAGCATTTTTAGAGATATTGAGTTGTCTCTATAAGTGCTTTTATGATTTATATGAGTTCCTAGAATGTCAAAACATGTGTATTGCTTATCATTTTAAAAGATGTCAAAAGATACTTGTATTTTTTCCTAAAACTGCTTTTCTTGAGTTTTCAAACAATAGGTTTTAATTTTAGTCTAAGATAGTGGTTTCAAAGCTTTTCCATTAGAAATAGAACACTTTAATCAAACATAATTTCATAAAACATACACATTGGATAGCACTGTAGCACTGTCCTCCCGCTGTTCATCGATTTGCTCCAGCGGGCCCAGTAACGTCTCCATTGTGAGATTTATTGTTAGTGTTTTTGCCATATCAAATACGCCACGGGGAGCTTGCCAAGCTCTGCTGAGTGGGCGGGATACTCTCAGTAGCTTGCCAGGTCTCCAAGAGGGATGGAGGAATCAAACCTCAAACCTCAGTAGGCTGCGTGCAAGGCAAATGCCCTACCCGCTATGCTATTCCTCCAGCCCACACAAACAAATACTGTCCTCCTGTTGTTCATCGATTTGCTTGAGCGGGCCCAGTAACATCTCCATTGTGAGACTTCTTGTTACTGTGTTTGGCTTAC